AATGGTTTACTAACCAAATGGTAATTACTAATACTCGCGTCAAGGGAATGCAATTTTTCAAACTTGTGAAGTGAACAATTGAGTGGGTTACAGTAAGTGGCTCTATACAAGTGGGGTGGGCACGCCCAGCTTTTCACGCATGTCAAGTGACTGCCCTCACCCCCCACCCCCTAGATTGGCTACACTCCCCCTGGCTCACGAATTCCCCGATTCTCGTGACAGTATAGTAGCGGGCAGCAGTCCCACTTACATACATTTCTGTTCAAAAAATGCGGCGTGCCCACCCTACTTGTATAGCACCCAATAAGTTTTACCATTCGATCTTCAAATTTCTTGCTACTCACTATCACCTTCCCCGAGTGAAGTTGGGGTAGAGCAAATGTTCACACTACGTAATGCATCGAATGTTGCTTCTTGCTAGCTCGCTCGTAGCCGCTGTGACGTCACCGCACGCGCAGCGTCCGCGCCGCTGGTGAGCTTCGGGGTCCGACACTATCCAATACCATATGTACGTTACACCATACTAGTAACGCAGTGGAATTCGGAACCCCTACGCTCTACAAATTTTTTTCTTTGCCAAAAGTGCTATTTCGATGAGACCTACAAAAAATCAAACAACATAGTGATACTCCAAGTTTGCTCGTAAATTTGTAACTGGTGAAGCGTTTAAAACGTCCCAGACGATACTCAAAAGAAATTTGGAGAGGGCAAGAAGCAAGTCGGCTCTTATAACTAGGCAATCAAGAGCCATGGAAAGGAGCCTACAAGTCCAGAAGATGATACCGTCAACTGGGTTAAATTGTATAATACCAGAGTCGCACACGGCCCAAGCACAAGACCGCTCCATGAAGTACACAAAGCTAATTTGATGTATAATCAGCATTTGATCAATAAACGGCCTTGCGATTATCCAAATTCAAGCCAATGTCAGGCTGTTAAGAAACACGGTTAAATATTAACATTCATTAGTTTCTTTCATGATCAGTGGCCATATATCACTCAAAAATAGAAAATTCATTAGTTCAGTAATAGCCTCCGTGAGAGAGACCACAATTAAAACATTACGAAGAAGTCGTGAGAACGGAATCGGATACAAAGTGAAGATATGTGTCTACACCATTGATAAGCAAGTACGCTAGAAGGAAAAACAAACAAAAGAAAGTGCCTGTAGTCTGTAAGGTAAATCGTGAGAAGCTAAACTGGATTGAGCACAGCTCCATGCATGAGTTACCACGACTTTGATGTGAAAGTTGTTCAGAAGCGGGTTAAATACAGATACAAATCATGTCAAGAAACGAGCAACCGCAGCAACTGCCGATCACCGGATAACAAACAATCAGGAACATTCCATTTGAAGCGTTACCTGTAATTCAATACTAATATGCAAAAGAAGGCATTCCAGAAATTGAACTACTCATATCTTTAACTACTGGATCTCAAAGAGCAAAAAAAGAAATGCGCCCACGCTATTGCAATTACCTACTGAAGAAACAATTCTCCAGTCCATGAAAACAAATATTATTATCGATTTCGATATGTCAAGGAAAAGCACCCCAAAAATTTTAATTTCTATGGACGCGCATCTGGATTCCCTTTTCTCCAATAATCGTGGAAACACTTTATAAAAACAACAAAATACAACAATGACATAATAGTAACCGCATTAAATCTTTTCAGAGATGATGGCCTCCTTGATGAGCATCAAGGTTGGTACCTCTTCACCATCAACGTCACGGTATTCAATGATGGCTACTTGCCCATCTCCAGCACCTTCAGCCATTCTCTCTCCTGAAAAAGTCAAAGGAAATAGAACACAGTAAACAGCCGAAACCCTACTAGAAAACATGTCCTACCAATGAAGAACTGCAGGGATTTCCAACGTTTCTTGTCAAGGAGGGATACAACCCAAGCTTGGATCTTCTTCTTGAACGTATCGATCTCGTCCTTCGACTTTCCTTCTTTCTCCATATAATCAACAACCTTCTTCATGAAAGACTTGACGTACGATTTGAACGTCGCTTGGTCTTCGTAGCAGTTCATTTCCTAGAATCAATTGGGATGGAGGACAAAAGCTTAGAAGAAGACATTAGCCATAAAACACAGCACCACCACTTGGGCCGATGTCAGACTTTGCGAATAGCGCGAATCGCTAGTAGCGAATCACGCGATTCGCAAAGTCTGACATCGGCCTTATCAGTGTCATCTCACCACTACAATGAGAGACTAACCTACCACAAGCTTGTGGTTGAGAACGATGTCGATTCCTCGCTCCACAACCTCATCAGATCCTTCGTCGCCATCCTCACCCTCGGCTGAAGGGTTGGCTCCTGGCAAACATATCTCTCCCTCCTTGCGAATTACGTGCCTTCCCTTGAACTCGTACACGAGATCATCGACGAGCTTCATTGGGAATGAGTCCGATGACAATTCATCATCTAAACAAACGAATAAACACAAATTCGCTAAAACCAGTACAAATCAAGTGTAGCAGAGCGAGGAGCGGTTCTCAAGCCACCGCAACGAACTACAACTCTTGCAGTTACTTTTCCACGGTTAGACTCGTCAAGCAACAATTGCCTACACTGCACCCGACGCCCGAACACCTCAAAAACGCAAAACGCGCTAATCGGAGTCAGAACATCGAAAGCAAGTACAGGCTGTTGCACAACTCAAGGAACGTGGACACAAACTAAAACTTTACAAATCACTCACCAGTGAAGACGTCCTTGAAGATCAGCATGATCGCAGGAGTTGCCCAAGCTAAAGACTCACTCAATATGATGCACTCAACTTGCTTCACTATGAAAACGTTGTAAGTGAACACAAGAAACAGCATATTTCGGCTCAACCGATAACATCAAAGAACACTTCAAAACAACAACAATTTATCATCTGCAACAGGCCAAACATGCATCACCCTAGCATATAATAAGTGGATTAATCGAAGAGGCCAAAACCAAGGTCTTCGTCCTCGGACTCTTCCTTGACCTCCTCTTTCTTCTTCTCAACTGCTGCTTCGACTGGGGCAGCTGCGGCGGCTGGAGCAGCTGCAGCTGCGAACTTGCTCGGATCAGCAAGATATTCCTTGAGCTGAGCGGCCTCCTTGAAGTCGACGTCGGTGACGGCAGCGATTCCAAGCATGTTCTGCAATCCTCTGGCCAACGAGTGAGCAACGGAGACCATCGTTGGGTACTTGATGGCGAGCGAAACGGCGGCCACGTTGCGCACTCCGGCCAAGAAGCGCTTGCGAAGCTCGTCGGTGGTCATGTCAAGCACCTCTGGTGTGTAGATAGTTCCATTGTCATACACTTGGAGAACGACAAGACCGTATGAGAACGGTGTCACTCCAAGCATATTGAGAAGAGCAGCCTCGGAAGCTCCCACTTTCTCACCCTCCTTGATGAGATGCACCTCATTCAAAATTTCAATGGTTCCTCTTGCGATCTTCGTTGGAATCTGAAGGGCCTGGAAGAACGAGGTCTTCTCGGGACCCATACCGGTGTTCTGAGGCGGCAGCTTGACATCACAGGGAGCAATGGCGCCAGCCTTGGCGGGAGCACCCTAAAAGAGAACTAATGTTACGACATAATAAACAGTAGAAAACAACATAAATAACGTACCCTTCTGTTTTCCAACAATTTAGCACGAATCTCTCCAAGATCTTCCTTCGTGAAGACGAACCCGACATTTTGAACGATGTAAGGGAGAAGCTTCTCAAGAGCTGGGTTCTTGGACAAGTGACCGCGAATGGCTTTGCGGATCATCGTGTTCTTTCCCATGAGGATCACGGCATGACCTTGAGTAGAAAACGATATAACAGAGCACCAGAAACAATGCAAAGCCCACAACTACGCCCAGAGCTATCAATAACTCGGCTCCAGAAAATGAAAAACTATTCAGAAACGGCTCACCTCTCATTGCTTGACGAATCTCCTGCATCTGCTTCGAACCCACATTGTCGACACCTACGAGGAAGCACTTCGGGTACTCATCAAACAACTCCACGAGCTTCAGGAAATAGTTAGCCTTCCAGGTTGTTCTGTCTTCCCTAACCATCGTGGTGGATTAAGGATCGTGCTGAGACGTTTTAAAGACGAACTGTAAATAAAAACATCACTCAATGTCACCAGTGTGAATATCCGCTGACAAACTACCGATACAGCGAAATTTTCAGCACAAAATGGTGCTATACAAGTAGGGTGGGCACGCCGCATTTTCCGACTAGAAATGTATGTAAGTAGGACTACTGCCCGAATTCGTGAGCCAGGGGGAGTGTAGCCAATCTAGGGGGTGGGGGTGAGGGCAGTCACTTGACATGCGTGAAAAGCTGGGCTCGCTCCATACCACTTGTATGAGCCCACAAAATAAATAGTAGTAAGGACTTCATCCAGCACGAGAGAAGGGGAGGAGGAAGACATGTGGTGCAACAGCTTATTTCGCCTAAAATAATCAATTTTTCTCGAAGGAAGTGAGCTACAGCGTAGGTGGAAAAGCGAAGACGAAATAGTTCACACATTCTGGGAACCTCTTCCCCCTGTAAAATTGGAAGTTCTTCAGACGATAGCAAGTGTTGCACCACATGTCTTCCTCCTCCCGTTCTCTCGTGCTGGATGAAGTCCTTACTACTATTTATTTTGCGGGCTCATA